ATTACCTATGGTAGTGGTCAACTCGAAAGCTTATTGCTACTTTGACCACTACGCACATTCACCTATTCACGCACATACGCACATTCACATTCCTATCGATTCTATAATATTATTTATTTCTCTCTCTTTTTACTACTATCAGAAATTATCTGTACAAATGAATGAAAAGTGCAAAATAAAATGAATCTGAATCTGAATCTACAGCTTCTTGCCTCTACATTCGATGTAGTTATCATTTTCGGTACCAGGCGTCAGCACTAGCCGATACACACCGTACGCCCCCAGTCGGCATTCAACAACGCAGCAGTCACCACCTGTGATGTTTACCTGTGGAGTTGTGTGTTAACGTTTGCACCTGTCCCACAGCTATATTATAGTGTCTGTGTTTATCATGTAGTCATAGTTACTGATGACAGTCGAGGAGTTGCATGTTTGCCAGCATATGATCAGGATTGTCCGTGCTAGTCTTCCAGAACAAGTAATGCCACGTTATAATGACCGGGAAAGTGCAGAAGTGTATTGTTGACATAGCTGTTCATGCTGTAAGTATTGCTCATAGGGTCTATGTCCCCCAGGGTACTGCCGGAACGTACCATGGGTACGGTCCGGTATACCGGAACGTACCCTGGTACTATCTAATATGCCGAACCGTACCTCGCCTACTCCACTAACGAGTCTAGGGAGTCGCCTACGCCTACTCCCTAACACTAACCCTAACCATATCAAATAGTGACCAGGGTACGTTCCGGTATACCGGACCGTACCCAGGGTACGTTCCGGCAGTACCCCGGGGGACATAGACCCTCTCAGCGTAAGTATTCATTGGTACAATAGTAGTATTCATTGGTAGCTACGTATATACGTATACACGTAACACAGTAAACTGTGAAGTAATATATTAATATTATTATTATACTCTCAGTCATCCCCAGTGGCAGTGTCACTGCCAGTAGTAGGCAGTACAACAGAGCAGGTTATTTTCATGATAGACACTGTGACTATATCTGCTGGTTAGTTGATAGACTATCTATACTCTATCTATAGCTCTACACAACATATGTTGTCAGAGAACTGTGTTACGGAAAATATCGGGACAGATGCCACATAACAGCCTAACACCCAGCGTTATATGCGCACTTACTGCTCTTACCTTATCTTATATATCTACTGCACCTCTCTGGGCTCTACCATAGGTTGTGTCAGAACCCAGGGCAGTACAGTATCGAGTTGGGAGCATGATTATCTGACTCAGCTGCATGCTTCAGGTAACCTGCCCAGGTGTGTGGCTCCCCAAAGCCGGAGATGTCTACCTGCATTTGCACCTGTGGGGCGACCACGCGCAGACGAAGTTCTTCCCGGCTGCTTTCCCACTGTTCTTTCACGATAAACTCAGGTTTGAAAAGGTGAGATTGTTGCCGTATATAGTGACAGAGCTTTATGTAATACGTGTCTAGTAGTACGCTTTCTCCAAATTGCTATTATATAGCAACAGAGCTTTTTGTCAGACTAGTCTATATGTAAGCTTTCTCTGAATTGCTGTTATATAATATAGCATCAGAGCTTTTCATAAGATTTTAGTTGGGGGATACACGTCCTCTGCCAATGTAATGACAGCTAGGCTGCACTTGGGCAAGAGATAACACCTGGTATAGCCTCTATCATGCAGATTCACAACATTTGTCAACATGTACAGCATTAGACATAATAGCACTTATTGCCCGTACTTATTGCCAACAAGCTGACATGATATATGTGTCATGGCGATGTAATGGGCAAGTAGTGAAAAACACTAAACATAGGAAGCAATTGCCAGTATGGTATTGATCATTCTTCGTCTGCCAATGGATATAGTTTGCCTATAGTGACCTAAAGTGCCTTTACATGAGAACTTTGCATTCCTTAGGTGTTCCAGACATGTGTGGACCCTGCAGATTTAGCGACGGAACTCGAAGGTAACCTATATATATACCACTCACAAGCAAATGACACTCTGCCTACGTTCATATCCACTTTTATGACATTCGTTAAAAGCCAAGATACTTCGGTATTTAGAAGAGGAATATCTTTTAGAGAATTTTGATTAAAGGAGGTGCTAGTTAAAGTGTCAAGGGAGACCGACTAAGTTTTTGAGGTGTGCCCTTTGCAAGGTGGTTCAACTGATGTTTATCACAGTAGCTGCCCTCTTCAACTAATGTTTGCCATTCTGGCACCCTCTCCTCCTAACGTTTACGATGGAGTCCTCTCCAAATAACATATGTGGACAGTCGCACCCTGTGCAAAGAAATACAACTAACGTTTGTCAGGGTGGCGCCCTCTTCAACTAATGTTTGCTACAGTGGCGCCCTCTCCACCTAACATTTCTCTTGATGAAAACCTCTCCAACTAATGTTTGTCCCGTTGTCGCTCCCTGCCAGCTGCTCTAACTGATGTTTATCATAGGGGCGCCCTCTGCTAGTTGCTCTAAATGACGTTCATTGTAGTGGCGCCCTCTGCCAGCTGCTCTAAATGACGTTCATCGTAGTGGCACCCTCTGTTAGCGCCTCTAACTGACGTTCATTGTAGTGGCGCCCTCTGCTAGCTGCTTTAACTGACGTTCATTGTAGTGGCGCCCTCTGCTAGCTGCTTTAACTGACGTTGATTGTAGTGGCGCCCTCTGTCAGCTGCTCTAACTAACATTCATCGTAGTGGCGCCCCCTGCCAGCTGGTTTAACTGACGTTCATCTTAGTGGCGCCCTCTGCTAGCGGCTCTAACTGATGTTCATCATAGTGGCGCCCTCTGCCAGCTGCTCTAACTGACGTTCATTGTAGTGGCGCCCTCTGTCCGCAGACTGCTTGATGGTGATTGAGCTGAAGCAGGTGAGCGAGGAGGGGGATCCGGGGGAGCCGACGGTGCTGGCGCGCTACGAGGAGTCGGCGCGAACCTTCCTCTTCCCGCCGCCGCGCCTTTCCTCACCGTATCCCGACCAGGATCGCGAGGTGCTGCTCAACCGGACCGGAGAGTTCCCGGTGAGTGCCGGTTGCCCTGGCGACAGGGCGAGGTCGAGAGAAGACTAGTTCGGTGCATGTACTTGTGATAATAATAATAAAAATAATGGTAATCATAATCATAATATTATTGTTGTTATTATTATTGTTTATAATGATAATAATAATTATATATATAGTTACCTTGTGGAATCCGGGCGGCAGAAGTTTGATGAAGTCATCGGGTGACACAGGTTAAAATATTCATTTGTTTATTATTATAGGAGATGTTAGTGATTTCTAATATAATATTTCTGTGTGTAATATCGTAAGGAAAATAACTGATTAGTTATTATCAAGAGTACATAATAGAGATCTCTATTATGTACTCTTGTTATTATATAGTAGGTAGACTAATTGGTCAGTTATCATGTTGTGGTACTAGGACTGTTACTAGGAATAGTTGTTGGTTATCCATTATGGAATGAACATATCCATACTCTAGATATGCTCATGGCGGGTGTAGGTATGTTAATGGTTATAGTCATCAGAGGTAAATCTCCATGTAGCAAGAGCATGCTCGTATATCATATACACACTTACGACAGCTTCATTAAAATCCTAGTATGGCACACATTCATTAGCAGTACTACTAATTTTGAAGGAAAAATATAATACAGCCATATATTCCCGTGTAGCTTGTTCACTTTAACTTGTGTATATATAACTAATTCAGATGTGTTAAAAATACTATTTTGGCTAGTGAGGAATATTGTCATACTCAGATTAACCCAGCCTAACGAGTTACAACCCAACCTCTCTCTCTCTCTCTCTCTCTCTCTCTCTCTCTCTCTCTCTCTCTCTCTCTCTCTCTCTCTACTCTCTACTCTCTCGTCTCTCTCTCTCTCTCTCTCTCTCTCTCTCTCTCTCTCTCTCTCTCTATCGATCTCGCTCTCCCTCGCGCTGTCTCTCCCTCTCTCTCTTTCTCTCTCACGCGTGCAGCCCTCCTGCCTCCCGACAGGAACCCGCGTGGCGAGTGTGAGCGCGTCCTCCCTCTATGGGAACACATGTCACGCATACGTACGCCTGCGGCGCTGCGCACAGCCGCCGAAATGCGTTTCCGAACCCGAGAGCTTTCCGCCCAAAAACAGAAATTAGGCGCCGCTGCAATTACGGCTTCGATCGCAGCCAATTGTGATGTCGTGGGCTATTGACGTCATACCCACGCTCCCGGCGCACGCGCATCACGGCGAGCGCACGCACATCCATCACGTAAATGCAGTAAACTATTAACCCTAGCAGATCGCGCCTGCTAGTCCGAGAGTTGAGTCGATTTCGGAGGTTGTAGGGACGGTCGCCGGGTCACCGAGGAGACGACGGTTTCAATCTGATTATTAGAGCGGTTCTTTTGTGTCGGAGTCGCGCTGCGCAGGAGCGCATCCCCAAATCACACACGCTCGCACGCACGCGCGTACACACACGCACCCAATCCCGCGCACGTATAATCGGGTTGCATCTCATCGGATACGGTCACGTAGCCCCGCATTGTTGCTGTTAGGCCTCCCTATTCCCGCGGCCGTTCCCCGCAGCTTAAGGCAGCGATGAATTAGCAATCAACAAGCGACGATTACTTAGCAAAAGAAAAGCGTTGCTAAATTATTAAACGCTCGCGCGGCGAAGTCCCGTGCGGTGCGATTTCAACATGGACAGCAGCCGCCGTGATTGCGTTGTGCACTAGTAATTAGACTGGACTCGTGGGTCTGAGTTAGCCGCTAGCGACTCGGAAATTCGTAGAGAGAGAGAGAAAGCGAGCGCGAGAGTGAGAGAGGAGAGAGCGAGAGAGAGAGAGGGCGAAAAAAAGAGAAAGCAAGCCAGAGGGAATTATAGAGGCAGAGAAAAAGAGAGCGCGCGAGAAAGAGAACACGAGAAGAGAGAGAGAGAGAGAGAGAGAGAGAGAGAGAGAGAAGAGAGAGAGAGAGAGAGAGAGAGAGAGAGAGAGAGAGAGAGAGAGAGAGAGAGAGAGAGAGAAGAAGAAGAAGAAGAGAGAGAGAGAGAGAGAGTAGTAGTAGAGACGAGTAGAGTAACGTAGACGAACGTACGTAAG